TTGTCGGTAAACCTCCAGACGGCAGCAGAGTCATGCGTATGGAACGCAGCGCCGGTATAGTAGGTGTTCCGCTGTCCCTGCAATGCATACAGATTCCTATAGAAGCCCTTGGCGATTTTGTCGGCCGAAACGAACAACGCGAAGGGACTGTGGTTGTTGATGGCCAGGATCTCAGGCTCGGAGGTATTGAATTGCGCTTCACGTAGCATCATTACACTGTCTCTGATGCTCTTCTTCACCTCGTTCTCGGTCTTGGCCTCCCCGCCACCGTAGTAGATCGTGTAGATGTCCGGGACGCGAGACGGCAACATGGCGTACACTCCCGGCAGATGAGGGATATTGTACGGCGTGTCGGCAGCGCGGTTGAGGATGTCAAGTCCGGCTGGCAAACCAGGGACTCTGACCACAGTGGTGTAGTAGAAGGTGTTTTCGAACTGGCCAAAGACGCCACGCTCGGTATCGTCTAGATCGAAATTCGCCAGGTTTTCCAGCTTCGGCGGAGCAGTGATGATGGTCTTTTTCGCGTTGATGAGTTGGTAGCCCTTTCGAGTTCGGACCAAAATCCGATGCGGCCGGTCTGCTGGACGCTCCATGCTAACCACAATACTGCTGAGCAATGCATCAGCACCCAGTTCCTTGAGCGCAGCCTCATACAAGGCCCCGTTGTTGCCGTCCACCGAGGCCAGGAACCCATTCTGCGCGCCCAGCGCCACCCCCAGACTGAAATGCTTCATGATGTATATGGTCGGGTACTGCAGCCAGTCCTTGAGACCTTGCGCATACAGAGTCAGGGTCTCCACCGCCGGTGCGAGGTCGTATTTCTTCACAAACTCCCCGAATGGGAGCAGCAAGTCCTCTGGCACAGGGTCCGGGAGGTTCCATCCCTGCTCGAGAAAGGGATACTGGAGCAGGTGCATCACATACCGCATCATCGCCTCGGTCACATTGCCCTGCGGAGGGGGCACAGTTTGTCCCGTGCGCAGATCGACGCGGGCACTATTGGAGCGTCCCAATTGCACGGTGGTCGTGGAGATGTTGAAATGGGCGAGGAAGTCTCTTGCCTCGGGGATATTCTGCCAGACCTGGACGCCGTAGTCGATATGCTGGCCGCTGACTGGATCACGGTAGGTATTGGTGTGGCCGCCTAGGAGGGGTTCCCTTTCGACCACCACGACGCTGTGGCCCATCTTGCGGAGCTGGACAGCGGCGTGGGTGCCAGAAGCTCCGCCTCCGATTATAGCAACATCGCGTTCGATGGTACTGGCGTTGTCGTATTTTGATAGATCAGGAGCGGGACCGCCAGGACCGGCGGGACAGCCGGGGTGTGCGATGGCCTGCCCCAGCAAAAGGCTGGCCAGGAGGGACTTTGTGGTTCTCATTGAGATATACATGACACACATGGCTTGATTGAACCTCCGTGTTAGAAAGGGAAGATCGCATTTTTATGCCCTTTCTCTCAACTCTGCACGTGCCCGAGAGTACCAGCATGGTGGCGCAGGGGCAGAGTACTGCCGTGGCATAATTCCCCGGCTGGGACACAGAATTAGTGGGAGACTATCTTGTCGAAACTCTAAGGAAATGAGTTCAGATCGTTCAGATCCTGTTGCTGGCTCAGCAATATGTACCACAATCAAAAGGCCTACTCTACGTAGTGTGTTCATTGGGCTGTAGCCCCTTAGGCCTTCCGCTCCCTGTAGGGCCTTCAGACCCGTACCATCCCCTAATAAAACGAGTGATATCAAATATGTGGCAGTGCTGCACTGCTGAATTCTTCCGGATCCTCTTGAATCCATCCACTCCTACAGAGTATTACTAATTTACTACGACGACGACGACAGCGACGTTGCCTCATACTACTGCCTGGGGTGATAGGTTGTTACATTGTGTAACAACCCAGTGGCATCATCCATACAGATCAACAACATCTCATAAATCAAGGCAAGAGAAGACCGCATTACAGCATCTGGTCTATTGTCTCTGATTACGCTATCTGAGAGCAGACGGGAACCTTATTTAGCATTCAATCCAAGCAAAATTGGAAGCTAAGTTCGGTCCGAAAAGAATTCTCTCAGAGATAAGGACGTATTCGAAACTGGGCATCTTTGTCCCTTTTGCCGGCGAACCTAATTTTAACATGCGAAATGTTGTCCTTGAAATAAATGACCCGTAGGGAAGGGCTTGGATGTTGACCCTTCACATACATCGCTAACCCATCGACTTATCTTATGCTACCTGATACTTTTCAAGTTCACATGCAAGGTCCCCCGATGCTCAATCATTCTATGTCAAGGAGTGTGCTTTTAAGGAGTCGAACTCATTGACTGGGTGAACCTACCATGGTTTGTTGATGATGTGCCATGATTCCCGCGTAGCATATCAATATAGCTGTCAAAATGACGCAGTACTAGTCCAGCTGCATATCCATCGAAAGAATTTTCAAAATGCCAGTTAAATGCTTGGATCCTTCCTCGTACGGCAGAGACAACTTGTGCTACAGCTGTCTATACGTTAAGTACGAACGATGCCTCCCGTTAGGGTATCCCCTTACTGTATTCTTTGCGGTCATAATGCCCCTGCAGGATGTATAGACAACAGGAAATGGACAAGCATGTTCCGACTTGGTGAGTGAAGTGCCTGTCCGATGGCCGCTGCAGCACCGCTGACACAGGCCCAGTCTCTCAGTCTGGAGACGGCGCACAAATCTCTGGCTTGGGATTTCGCTTGGCGGAGATGACATGGACAGTCCCTCGTGCCGCGAACAGTTGTTGGAACGATAAACCGGAGCCTGCATACATAGAAGTTTACTTCGCCCCCTATTTCGCCCACGTCCATTCGATGCCCGCATTCCTGTTGCACGAAGCATGCTGGTCACTCCTGAGACGTATTTACGGCCAAAGGGCTGTACCACTGACTCGGCTACTGGATGTGTGCAACTCGCTGTGTTATCTGTCCTGTACTAGGATTAACTGGGGTCATTCGTATGGCGGGATGGTTGAGATATCTGGCAGAGGTGTGCTTCATTACAGTGTAACTGGGAGACATGAGACTTGGCGGCCGATGGAACAAAATCCCTTTCCTGATGGCAATCGGGCCTTGAGGTTAGCGTTGCAGAAAGCCACGAGACCCAAGAAGTCCGTGAATCGCAAAGCATCAAAGCCGTTTCCGATCAAGAGAGTAAAATCGCGCCCGGAGAGTGTTAGCTGTCTTGATCAGCTCCCGTTGGACATTTGGTTTGAAATATGTGCTTACCTGAAAGTGCACGACTGCCTGAAATTACGGTTCCTGTCAAGGCAGTTGAGCACCATGATGCAGAGCTCACACTTTTGGACATCAAAAATCAAGTCTGAGGAGTGTGGTTTCGCATTCGAGGTGCACGAACTGGAACCCAGCAAGTTTGTTAACTCAAGTTGGCTGTATCGCTTTATATGCATTCAGCGTGCTGCTGCTTTACACAACAGAGCCAGGATCTGGGATCTGGGACAGTGTCTCAAAGGCATCCTGGACCTATCTGAACCTGACACAACAACTATGGTTAACAACCCCATGGACCCTGTGGGCATGGATTGGGTGAAGCTCCCTTGGCCTATCAAGGCTCCTAATACCGGCGACCCTCAAAAATACATTGAGGGCTGCCAAATCTTGTACACACAGCGCGTGATTTTCTCCAGTCATTTGCGTCAAATCACTGTCTCATGCATTGACATTGAGGACACAGGCTACATCACAGGTCTGAAACTTTCCTTCGACAACGGGACCAGCACACAACTCGGTTACAGATCTCGGAACAATCCTTCAGCCGATATAGTAGCCTTTGGTGGTTTCATTGTCGCAGTGGGGACGGCAGGAATCCATGGGTTGCAGATAATCGACGAAGACTCCGACGCCACACAATGGTTTGGTTCGAACGAGAGATGCCCTCAAACACGTATGTTGAAGTCGGAAGAGAAGATTGTCGGAATGACTGCTTCTTTTGATGTGAGGATACTCTCTAGCCTTGCAGCCCATTTACCACCTGTACTAATGGCAGACTAGGGCTTCAAACTCGTCTCTCTGGCGCTGGGCCGGCCAAACCAGCGAAAACGTAAAAGTTGGCGGTCTCTCCTTAATACTGCCTTATGGTATCCATGTCTCCCCCCAGACAAACTACGCATGAAAGATGGGTTTTCAGTGGGCCAATCGCCCACGAAATCTCGCCACAATCTCCTCTTCTGGGTCTGGTTCGGCGGTCCAGGAGGGTCGTACCTTCAGTACTTGACCGGAATATCCGTCACAAGATCTCAAGGCGGATTTGGGGGCATCGAATTCCATTTCTCAACCGACAGCGTCCCCATCACGTCCAGGAAACTGGGTCTTTGCGATGACAAGCAGGGGCCGGATTTTGCCATCGATGGTGCAGGAGGAGAGTACATCACGTCCGTCTATGGGAGGCTTCCGCAGATGCCTTACCTACCCGCTCTAGTGGTGTGTCACAATCAGGCTTTACGGGCCGGGCTGATTAAAGCTGACATCCGGAGACAGATATACACAAACCGCGGTCGAAAGTTTGCTGCCCTCCGTCAGAGTTTCGACGTTGCGAAAATGAAACGGCTCTTCCCCGGTGAATCCAACTCCATCCTGACGGGATTTTATACTAGCTATCGAGATCATGATTCTCCAATGCGCAGCTTGGGTTGCTTGTGGGAACGAAGCTAAGAACCGGCAGGCACCGTCAGCTAAAGAGAATGTCAACTGACGCAGAGAGGACAGTTCAAGTTACTATCGACATCAAACTTCAGCACTCTGCTCTGGCTTGCTATTAGGCAGATGCGAGCGCGCTTACAGTTTAAGACAATGACTTCTAATTGAAAGAGTACCCAGCACAATATCACACTCTTCAGACTATCTTGTCAACCTTTGCTAGCATGTAGCGAGCTTGTGCTACACGCTTAGGAGCTTCGGCACTTTCGGTCCAATAGCGATCAACGGTAGAAGAGGCACGTTCAATATCATGGCATCCGGATTTACGCGATGCCAAAATAAATGCCTACGTCGGAATTCCACTCCTTGAATAGATCATCAATTGTTGCATCAGGCAACATGCTAGGCCACTGCGCATGCAAATCCTCTGCCGGAACTGGAGACGGCCCCGCGGTGGTAACAGGGTTAAATGCCATTGCTGTTGGAGAAGCATGATGTTGGCGCTGGACGGGAATCTGCGTCATCTGGGTTTCATACCACCACTGTAAGCGCTTGAGGCGATTTTCATAGTGATAAAATACGTCTCTTTCACCCCGTGCGTCCACCAGGGGCGTGACTAACGCTTGGACGCGTAGGATAACCTGCTGGAGTATCGCAGAGACGTCTAATGAGTCTCTGAGTTTTGCTACTTGGCGGTCGATCGAGGAATCTGACGCGGCGACAGAGAGCTTTGCAGCTAGTGTCAAGCAAAATCCACCTTGCACCCACTGCGTATTATTGAAAACAGTCTCTGCACGCAATGGGAGCGCGAGATAAAATTGAAAGAACTGTTTGGCTGCCACGAGTCCCATTGATAGAGCTTCGACGCGGAGCGATGACCAGTACATCGAGTCATTCGATGTTTTCCGGTCAAAGAGGGTGATTTGGCAAAGGTATAGCTCTGCTGTGTGGAACTGCATGACGATAAACTCTGCTTTGGTCAGCCTGAGAGTTTAACAGGTAAGTGAGCACTGGACATACGATTGTGTGCAAAGGCAGCGAGGGAATCAGCTCTGAACTGGTCTAGCTCGGCCCTCATCTTGCGAAAATGGGGTTCGAGGACAGCATCTGTTGCATGCATTTCTGGTGCATTCTGAGGCGATAGGTTATCAATATCTTCGAAAAGTCGCTGAAGATGTACGATATGAGGCAATTGTGCGTCTGACGGACAGGTTGGACTTCGAGCAAGCGATTGACAGCAATCTTCAATGTATGGCGTGTGTGGAAAGGTTGATAGCTTTTGAAGGATTCGAGATATGCTTTCACCTTGTCAGTTTTAAGTATCAAACATAGATAGAAAAAGGGAAGTACCTTGACGAAAAGTAATAGCATCCAATAACGGCTCTCTGCTCATCCTGGCCCCAACACACTGGGTTTGAGTCGTTATCAGCTATGCCAACCCTCGTTTGCCACAACCGCATGCCAGGAGCTCTGTCCAGTCGACGGTCGACAACGATGCTGGTTGCCAAATGCAGATACTGTGAGAATCGGCGAGGACGCGAATGATATTGGCTCCTGCTCCTGTTAGAGTACGGTCTAAATCCCAGTTCCGACATACACACCATGCAAGGTATATCAGAAGACCCTGGAGTAAATCGAAGGAGATCTCTCCCTTAAATACCATGCGGTCGCTAATGGCAACTTTTACTTGTTCTTCTAGCACACGCTGCAAAGGCATGTTATCGTACAAGGCTGCTGTCAAGACTGTAAGGAATACTGCTGGTCTCGTTCGACGTATTTCCTCGGTACTCAGCTCTGAAGGAATGATAACAAACGGCAAATTCGGCATCATTGTTGCTCTGTACGTGTCGATTAGAGCATTTGCTGCCTCCATGGACAGAATGCCTTTGTCAATAACATCTTCATTTGCGTTGGGGTTCTCAGACGCTTCACTCCGCGATGTGCTCGAATATGCTTGATTCTTGGATGTATTAATCGCACCACTACTTTGAGAGTAGGTCATCATGGAACTTGCCTGATTAATCTGTCTTTTGAATGTAGCCGTCTCTGATCTAGCCAGGAGCCGGTCAACCTTCTCTTCAAGAATGTCAATTCTCCTGCGCAGCGCCCCACAGTCAGCACAATTTCTAGCGGCGGGAACATTCATCAGAGTGCTGACTTGTCGCGCCGACTTCCATCGGACTTGGAGCGTGCTTGACGAAAGACACATTCTTTTCCTAAACGTTGACATCTTTAATCGTCAGCCCCCTGAGGATGACGGATCAGTTGTTGTGCTATGCTGACCGTTGGCAACTTCCGCTATCTGCGGATCGAAGGCAACGTATCTTGCCACGAGCACAATTCTGGCAAGTTTTTACCAAGGGGATCTGCGGTGTGGTTGCATCCGAGCTCGTATCGGGAGTCATTGATGTGTCCGACATGTAAATTTGATGGATTTGATGATAGTTAAATGCCCGAGTTTGAGAGGGGATGGAAGAGTTTAGCGCTGATGGGCGTGAGAAGTTGCCGCCTCAGGCAACAATATAGTACCCTTGCTCGCCGTGAAATGCCCAGGATCACCGGCCATATTGTCGTTACTCAGACCATACGGCGATGTCTTGAACATCCACAAGGGAATCAAGCAGCAGCAGCGGTTTCAGAGAGTGTCTGTAGCCATTCTTCTTGATGATATGCGCTGTCGGTCAGATGTGCCAAGGGCCTCAACCCCACGCTCAGCTGGTCTCCGGTCTTCAGGTTAGTTTGAGCCAAGACTTGACTTTTATCTTGGTGCCTGGTTCTGGAGCAGGGACTGGATATATATTTTTTGATTATCTCAGAGTGGCTCAGTTGACACGCCAAGTCGAGATTTTCTTGGCTACCCTTGTTTACCTTGAGGGTACAACTGGTCAGTATCCGTTTGACAGCGGGTGTCAGCACAGAAGCTGACGCTGCGCCTCAGCAGAATGACGCGTTGTTTTGTCGGTATGGCCGCGTTCTTCTCGGGGTTCTTATCCCGACCCTGAGCCCGTGTCCTTGTCCGTGTCCGGGCCCGAACAACACGGCTTTGTTTCAAGGGGCCTACCTCGTTCTATCTCTAGGGCTTACTGACTCAGGCAGCTCAATTATTAACTTCAGCCTCAAAACATGCCCAAGCCAACACATTGCTTTGCTTTGCTTCTCATTCGGACAATATGGGTCTAAATTTAGTCCTTCAGGGTTGATGCGCATTGTGCAGCAAATCATGTACTAGAAGCTGCGGCCAATGCCCCAGTGCTCGCCCACATTTACGGTGTAGGATGCTAAATTGTTGTTGATGTGTCGACCGCAGTGAGAGCCGATGATGCTAAGAGCTAGAAACATGCGTTGGGGAAATTGCTTAGCAACTGAAGTCAAGCTGTTGAGTAGGCACCGAAGTAATCGGCATCTACTTATATAGCATCAACCACGCAGGGACTTGCGACTGGGATCATTCATCTCTACCCACGCATCCTCCCATCTTGCTTATTATTTACTTGAAGCATATCCTGGAAAGTCTTCGTCATAATGAGCAACAGTACAGACCCCTCAGACTACTGTACGCTGGATACTTGTCCATTGAGTCTCGCCAACTTCAACTATGTTCCCAACCTGGCGGGTAACCTTCTGTACCTGGTGCTTTTCGGTACGATGTTGGTGGCCAACCTGGGACTTGGGATATATTACCGTACTTGGGGATACCTAGTAGGAATGATCGGTGGTCTGGCTCTTGAAGTCATCGGTTATGTCGGAAGAGTCCAGCTTCACTACAACCCATTTCCATTCGATCCATTCCTTGAGTGAGTTTCCCTAAATAACCTTTCCCCGAGAAGTATATGAGGATGAGCTGACTTGCATTGGCTAGATATCTAATCTGCCTCACTATTGGTCCTGCTTTCTTGAGTGCCGCTATCTACATCTGCCTCGGCCATATCGTTGTTGTCTACGGCGAGGGTATCTCCCGTCTAAAACGAAGAACCTACACCATCATCTTCGTCCTTTGCGACTTCCTCTCGCTTGTGCTCCAAGCTGCCGGAGGAGCCATTACCTCGACTGCGGATCACGATCAGCAAGACCTGCGTCAGACGGGCATTAACATTATGATAGCGGGTCTTGCCAGCCAAGTGGCATCTCTGGGTGTTTTCCTCTGTCTCTGCGCCGATTTTGCCTGGCGTGTGTACAAGAACCCGGACAAACTTGAGGAATCGATGTATCATGTTCGCAAGACGCTCAAGTGGAAGGCGTTCCTGATCGGTAGGCTTCTCCTTCCCTGCATTTCATCTCGCTATGTATATCTGACAACTATAGGGCTCACCGTCGCGACATTAGCGATATTTGTCCGGTCCGTCTTCCGGGTGGCGGAACTGCGAGAGGGTTTCGACGGTCCCTTGGCAAATGACGAAGTGACATTCATGGTCCTTGAGGGCGCCATGATGGTTATTGCTACTCTTTGCTTGACTGTTTTGCACCCAGGATACTGCTTTGGTGGCTACTGGGATCAGACCAGCTGGAAGTCCATCAAGCGATCCAGTCAATTGAGCTTGACTGAACTCAAGGCACAGAACTCACGGGCCTAACATGCTGAAGATATTGGAGGCAATTATGACGACCACGACTATTATGCTTATTCGAGGGCATATGGGGTTTGGAATAGAGAATTGGTTAGATAGAGAATAGATTGGCTGACGTCGATGTTTGATTGTATAGCTACATTCTCTTGGTAGTTCCCAGACCGTTTTGGATTCATGAGAGCATTTCCACTGAAGTGCCCTGTAATTGCTAGACTCAGATCCTAGTCCCATCCACATTCGACCGCTTCTCTTCCTAATTCATACACCTTGTGCCAAGTGTTACTTCGGCTGTCTTTAGCTCTATCGTCTTGTTCTCTGCCACTTTGGTTGAGGCAAACTAGCAAGCTCCATCCTGTTTCTTCTTCGTTCTGCCTAGCTTTAGGATTGGTGAATCTTATACCGTCGATCAGCTATAGTCAGGCAAGTGGATAGAGAGAGAATGTGTCGCTCCTGATCCAGTCGCAGTAATGATCAAATCACTTCTTCGCCAGATGTAAGGGACGCTGGGTTGGACATATGGACGTAAAATAAAGAAGCAATCCATCATCCATGACTTGAACAGACCTCGTCGATGGCAACAACGAATTCTGCCATTAGACTAATGATGCTGGGTGAAAAAGGACATGAAAGGGGACTACCCCTGGATCGAACCGCGGACCTTCAGATATATGCGCCAGACGCCACCTTTCCATAAATGCTTCCTGTAGCCGAACAAGCCAATCAGATTTCTATATCGGCTGGAGTGAGTATGGTGTGATTGGCCGCCATCCTTACCCCTCGTTCTTCACATAATGGATTGTTCTCCTAATTGGTGTCGTGTCAGCAATCTGCTGCAGTGGGGGGCCGAGGTATTACTTATCTTTGATCTGGTGGAGAATGGCAGGTAGACTTATGCTGTGTGCTCGTGTTGAGACTTCACAACTTACGCAAGGCGGGCGATATAAATATATATTAGGAGAACTTCCCATGAGCGCTCGCTAGTAGCTTTCTAAACCCGCCATATATACTACAGACTCGTCAACTATTTCAAGATTACCGCATTATACAAATGGACTCTCAAAACTCCATGTGCAACTGGCAACACAGAGTCGCCCAAAAGCAACAGGAATGCCTGCAGAAGATCCCCGCTGAGTGGAAGATCCCCGAAAGCCTCCTCTCGTCCCTACAGCTACCACTTGCCGAGAACAAAAATGACCTTATCCGGGGAGACGCTGTCCGCAAATCTGGTATCCTAACCGAACAAGAACTGCAAATCACAGAGCAATACACCGTGTCTGGCCTCCTATCAGCATTGGCAGAGGGACGACTGACCTCGCTCGAGGTGACATTAGCATTTTGCAAGCGAGCTGCAGTGGCGCAGCAGCTGGTATGGATGTTCCCGTCGCTATATTGCAAATACTCATGTTGGATAGGTAAACTGTCTCACGGAGACTATGTTCCCCGAAGCCCAAGAGCAAGCCAAATATTTAGATGGCCTCAAGGCGCAAGGGAAATCTGCGGGACCATTGCATGGCCTCCCGGTCAGCATTAAGGACCTTTTCCACGTCAAAGGAACGCATGCGTCTATTGGAATGATCTCCTTCTTAGACGAGAAATCGACCGACAATTCGCCTTTGGTCGATATCCTGCTAAACCTGGGAGCTGTTATCTATGTCAAGACCAATATTCCCCAAACAATGATGGTACGTCGACCTACTAATTTCGGATCGGTAAAAAGCTAACATTTTCCTGCTGTAGACGGCTGATTCGCATAATAATGTCTTTGGTCGTACATTGAACCCTCATAACACTCTTTTAGGACCCGGTGGATCCAGCGGAGGTGAAGGTGCTCTTATCGCCATGAGAGGATCGCCCCTCGGCGTCGGAACCGATATTGGAGGTAGGATAGCTCCCGGCCGACAGGAAGTAACTAACAAAGCCAGGTTCAATCCGTATTCCCGCTCTATGCTGCGGAACGTACGGCTTCCGGCCCAGTGCGTCTCGTATCCCGAATGGTGGCGGACGTAGCTGTAGCACCCCCGGCATGAAGTTCATCCTGTCTTGTGCAGGGCCGTTAGCTCTGGATATGGATGCAATTGAGGTTTTTCTGAAGACAGTCATCGATGCGAGACCCGGTCTGTACGATTCCTCGGTCATCGATGTGCCCTGGAGACAGGCGACCGTTAGACAACCCCTGCGAATTGGCGTCGTTCCCCCAGATTCTATCTTCCCTCTGCACCCACCAGTGCGAAGGACTTTAGAGGAGGCAGCCAAGTTATTGAAAGCTCAAGGCCATCAGATCATAGAGCTGTCGGCCGAGGAATGTAAGGTAATGGAGATCAACGAAGTCGCATGGAATATCTTTACTCTCGACAGTGGAGCAATGGAGCATTTACAGGCGGCCGGCGAGCCACCGGTGCCTGCTCTCGTCCACATCCAGCGCCAGGTAGAGATACTGAAGCAGGCGGGGAAAACTTATCTACCTGATTTCAGTCATTTGGACCGGCTAGGAAAACTCGCTGCTCTCAGTGCTAAGAGAGCCGATCTTCGAGAAACCTGGAGGAAGATGTGGAACAGCCACGATCTGGATATTTGTCTCGCACCACCGGCTCAAAACACGGCTGTTCCGCATGATATGTTTGGACTCGCACCGTACACGACTTTTCTAAACTGTCTTGACGTAAGCTAGTTTTCAAAGCCTGAAAGCTTCATCTAACGACCTTTAGTATCCTTCGTGCATCATCCCGTTCGGACAGGTCAACGCGACAGATGCTCAGGAGGCCTTTGAGCTTGCTCCAGGTCAGGCTGGACCAACATGTGAGTACTTTTACTGATCTAGGGGCCGATTCTTCTCACTGACA